CGGTTTAAAACAAGACAAACTGAAATTTTAGACCCAACTCAAGAATTTATCTTTGCATTTAGTTTTATAACCCTACATATAACAATTTAATCTTTAATGATACTTAACTAGGTTTAATGCTTACCCGCCATTTTTTTTTTAATACAATTGCCTCACTACTCTTGTTTTTGTGCGCTGCAGTAACAGCATTTAGCAAATTTTTCAAGAATGGTATTTGGCTGATATACTTTCTTAACCCCTGCATATCCAGGAATGTCTGCCAGTTGCCTTCATTTAGAAACGATAACTTGGCAGAATATGTAACTCTTAGTTCAAAATCATTTTCCCTTAAAACTGTAGATACTGCCCCCTTGCCTTTCGGCATTTACAGTTGCAAGAGAAAAATCGCGTCAGTCTGACTTTTACCCCTTTACAGGTAACCTGCTTTCTCTGAATACTTGGGAGGATTTTTTTCTTTATCCTTCCAGTTTAAAAATGTCACTAGGATATGTCTAGGTGTTGCTTTCTTTTCGTTGTTTTACTGGTACTCTATGAACTTTTTCTATTTGCAGATTTAGTTCGTTTTTCGAATCTGGAATATTTTCTTCAATTAGGTCCTTATTGTTTCAGCTTCATTTGCTTTCCCGTTTCAGGTATTCCTATTATGTGTAGATTGTATCTCCTGGACCGATCCTGTAGATTTCTCTCATTCTCTTTTATTTATTTTTCCTTTTTTTCTGCAGGTTTCTCTTGTTTTGCATTTACTTCGGTAATTCGATTTTGTGACCGATCAGGCTTGCACATTTCTGTTAGCGCTCTCTCCTTGATTCTTTCCAAGCGCTCTGACATTACCCTCTTTATCAATGAGCATAGATCTTTAAGCTCCTGTATTATATGATGATCAAACCTTACTCTCTCTTCGGTTTCCACTGCTATATCCGTTTCAAGAGGCGGCATTTTCTCGATTATAAGCTGTTTCTTCCGAACTCAGGTATTAACGACCTTTAAAACAATAAACAAAACTTAATTCTCTACCGCTTGACCGAGTCAGCCCAAAGATTCCCATTGGTAATTATTAACAGGTTTATTGAAATGTTCTCTTCTTGCTTACCTTTCGAACAACTCTTCTTGGCAACGGGACCAAAAGTAAAGATTAAAGGCAGCCTTCCGAAGCCCCTTACAAAAGAAAATGAACGTCCAAAATGGCTCCCGCACGTCATCACTGCACGCCTCACGTCAGAGCCAATAGCCTGATGCTTAGCTTTATTGCTGGGGAGCTATAGCGCGCTAGCCAATCGGGAGGCAGTAAACTCCAGCGACCCAAGCCACACCCCCACGCATTGTCGCGCTCCTCCCCCGCCGCCCCGCCTCATCAGAGCGGGGTCATGGGAGTGCGCATGCGTCCATTCCATCTCCTGACCCTTGGGTCCAATGACTCGGCTTAGATCCGGTACCGCCTCGAAGGCGGGACTGGGTCCCAGCCACGGCCAATGGAACCCCAGGTGAAGGTTGAGGGGTGGAAAGTGCCTGGTAGACGGTGATGTAGGTTTCTACCAGCGCGTGTGCAGGGCCACCTGGTCGTCATGGAGGCAATCTTGGCGGAGGAGCTTGATGAGGAGGAGCAGCTGGTGAGAAGGCATCGCAAAGAGAAGAAAGAGTTGCAAGGTGACGAGGGAATGGGAACCTAGAAATCTCTCGGATCCAGGAAAGGGCGCGTGGCGGGTCGGTTCTAGGGAATCTCGAGAGGTTTCTGATCTGGATCCTCCTAGACTTTCCCAAAGTAGCCAGTGGCCTCACCCCTCCTAATCCCCTGCCCCGGTGGTCCCTTAATCCGCCAGATTTTTAGAAGCTTCCTTTTCTCAGGTCCACCGCGTCCCCACTACCCCACGCCAAGCCGGTGCTGGTGTCTGAGAATTTCGTGTTGGGCCCAGATTGTTCTCCCCCTCCCGTCTCCCTTTCCTGTTCCTAATCAGTTACTGATACTGGGCGCTAATGGACGCGTTTTGAAATACCTCAGTTTTGAGGACTCAGAAGGGATGCTTGAGAGATTTAAAACTCAGAGTCATTTTTTTCCCCCTCCTCCTATCACACCAAACAGACGTACGTTTTTGTTAATGAGGTTTTTTTGTTTGTTTTGTCTCTCCTTCATCTCGGTTCTTCTCTGTAAATGTCTGATTGTTATGTAATTACTCTTCTTGGCTTACATCATTACTTGTCTACACACTTCTCCTCTTATCATCCCCTTATTGCCCCTATTTGTCATTTCCTCTTAATCTCTGGGTTGTTGACTTAATGATTTTTGGTGGATTTTCAGCCAAAATTCAGGGTATGAAGAATGCTGTTCCCAAGAATGACAAAAAGAGGAGGAAGCAACTCACTGAAGATGTTGCTAAGTTGGAAGCAGAAATGGAACAGAAACATAAAGAAGAACTGGAGCAAGTGAAGCTGAATTCTAAGGAAAGTAAAGTATGTGAAGTGTTGTTTCTTTTTGCCTACAGCTTTTGAAAGCAACTGTCCACCTCTAATAAACTGTTCACTATATGAAATCATAAAATTAGAGGGAAAGGAAGTCACAAAATCATGCTCATGCATCACCTTTCATTAATATTTCTGTGACCAGGTTTACTTGGTAATGTGTAAGGGAGGTCAGCAAAAAAAGTACACTTCAACTATGTACTTGCCCCCAAAATGAACATAATGATAAAGTGGACCAGAGGAAGCTTCACCAAGTGGAAGTTGGAAGATCAGACTTCTAGCCCCAGAATTGCCATTAAATAGTATTGTAACTTTGGTAAAGTTACTTAAACTTCCTGAGCATAAAATTCTCCACATATAATATGATACAAATACTTCTGCTGTTTAAGCACAAGATTCTTTAAGAATCAAGTGGGACAGCAAATATGAAATCATGTTCAGGTTATAAAATGTGCTTTATGAACAAGTTGTAATGAATGAAAATTTACTTTTGTTTCCTGGGTAAATTAGAGCATACTGTCATCGTTTTAACTAATACTTATTTTATCATTGTAGCTAATAGATATTGTGTGTGCCAAACACTTTAACATATGTGCATTATTCTCATGTAATTTTCATAGTAACACACTATGAGGTTATTACCCATGAAGTAAATGTAGATAATTCCATTTTTCAAGACAGAAATAGACTCAGGGATTAAGAATTTCCTTCTGAATTCATACCAGCTATTAAATGCCAAAGCCAGAATTCAAAATCAGGACTGTCTTACTCCAAGATGTGAATCAGAATTCTGTTATGACTTAGTGTGGTATGGTAGTTTATCACATGATTTTGGATATCAAGGATCACAGGCTCCATAATCTTACTCCATTTTTGATAGAAAGTTCTTATGGCTGTACAAAATTTTATCTACCATAACTTAGTTTTACTTGGTTTATTTTTGGTCTGCTGTTGACAAGAAAACAACTTGTCTGTACTGATTTACAGTGGTCTTTATATGAAACATAATCTCATCTTCTTTAGCCTTATTAGCTAGTCGTTAAGATCCTGGCCTTCCATGACTTAACATATTTTATTTCCAAGTGGCAAGGTGTGATGCTCCAGTTGTTTGTGTTGTCACAATCATGGTATTCCTGATTATCTCCCCATCTTTTCTATTAGTGAGATAGTTTTATTTGCTCTCCAATTTTCAATTTTGATATTTCTTTCCTAGGTTTCCAAGGACAAAAATGTTTGATTCTTAAGCTACATATTGTTCAACTGTTAAAATACAAACTCCCATTTTACTTTGACCTATTATCTTTTTCATTAACTTAAGCTTGTTTTATTTCTGGACACTATCTGAATTCTCATGTCATTTCTTTCCAGATGCTTCTCTGTATCTTGCCTCTTGTCAGTGTGGCAGTTTGTAGATTTTAGCAGATTCCTCTGAAAAATATAAGGATACTAATTTTATTAAAGTTGATGTAACCACTCTCTGAAGTCTTAGTTTGGTTTTGATATTTTGATAATTTGGTTATAGCCTTGGAGCCTGCTATCTCTTGTTGTGAGAGGCCTCTATATGCTTTATGCATGTGTCCTACTAAAAACTAGTTTAAGTTACATTTGCAGTAATAAAATACTAGTACTAATCCTGATCGTTCGTCTAGCATCTTTCTTCTTACTTCAGCAAACACATGATAGCCATTTGATGATTAAGATTTGTTGTGATATCTAAACAATATATTAACTTTTCTACCTGTAGTTATCAGTTTGTAGATGGGAGAGGATAGAGAAAGCTCAACAGTGTTCATCAGGTTCTGGCTAATTGAGATGGGAAAAGGCCTTTCCTGCCGCATTTGAGATTATGAAGGCGGTAATGAATCCAGCACAAGACCTTATTTTTTCTTTTTTTAAGATTTTATTTATTTATTTAAGAAAGAGAGAGAGCACGAGCGTGGGCATCATGCACACAGAGGGAGGAGCAGAGGGGGAGGGACAGGCAGACTCCCCGCTGAGTGTGGAACCTGGTATCATGACCTGAGCCGAAATCAAGAGGCTGACACTTAACTAACAGCCACTCAGACACCTCAACACAGGATCTTATATATCCTATAAGTACTCTCAGCATTTAGAGAAGGGAAGGGTGAACTGCTGAATGAGTTGACACTATAATTATAGGAAGTATTTAGATTAACGGAATAGGAATTTCAAGGAAGGAAAGCCCGCAGGGATGAGCGTTATCTTTGGAGAGCTCTAAGGAAACTTTTTGGGAATCTGGTGAATTCTCCCTTAAAAATAGAAAAAGGAGACAAAGCCACTTCATGTAATATTGTACCTATTGCTGTTATTCAAATTTGAATTGTTGTATTACACATACCTGTGATTTTCTTTTTTTGTGTGATTTTCAATAATTTAATAATCTAATACTTTGAATAATAACTTAAAAGTATTTTTCATTAACTTGGTAATGCTTTTGTTTCCTTCAGATAGATTCTGTTGCTGTTAACATTTCAAACTTGGTTCTTGAGAATCAGCCACCTCGGATATCAAAAGCACAAAAGAGACGGGTATGAATGTCATGTCACCAAGTAATTAAGTTAGTGCTATATGCTTATTACTCCCTTAGGTGTTGTATACATAAACGAAGGGAATAGGAAAAAAAATGATGGAATTTCTTGTCAAATACCTGAACTAACATTTATTAAACACTTAGTATGCGCCAGATACAATGCTAGGCTTATAGATTATATGAAATCTCATTTAGTCCTGATTATAATCCTGTGAAGTAGATTCTTATCCTCATTTTGAAGAGAAGAAAATAGGTCTAAACAGTATAAAATAACATGTACAGTTTCTGGGTCTCATAGAGAGTAGGGATAGGAAGGGAGTGTGCAAAGGATATTTACTTAATAATTTAGAATCTTCACATTGTGGGCCCAGGTGATTCTCTTTTGGTTAAAAACTGGTGTTAAGTGGTGAAACAAGGATTTGAATCTAGAAATTAAGCAAGATACACAGGTGTACAGAATTCTCAGGATTATGCAGGTATCTACGTGATGGTTAGTTGCAGTGAAAATGCAGAGAAGGAAAAGTTCATTTGTGCCAAGTATTATATAATGAGTTGGAATTTTAAGAAAGTACAGTTAATTAGATAGGATATTTGAGTAGGAGAAACCTCATGCATAAAAATAAATGTGGGCATGAAATTTTGCATCATCAGAGAGCTATAAGGAAACTGATTTGTTGGAAGTAGTGAGTTCATGAAATCAAAGTTATGGGAATGAAATTAGATAGGTAAGGGCTGTTCACTTGGAAAAAGAAAAAGGGGTTTAAATCTAGTATGTTTAGTCTCAAATACTGTTTTATTAACATTTGATGTTTTATAGTATTTAAGTGTTTATTTTTAAGCTAATTTAGCATTTTGTAGTTTAGTAGTACATAATTTAATACGGCATGGTATTTGGTGTCAGACATGTGAAGGTTTTAATATCCCACTTACTATTGTAGCTTTGGGTAAGATTCTTAACTTTTTTAAACCTCAGTTTCATATGTACAAAATGGAGTAAATAATACCTACTTTATAGAGTTATTGTAAATATTAAATAATGTACCATTTCCAAAGCCCTAACACAAGGCCTGGAGAATCAGTGGGTCAGCACATGGTAGTATTGTTTACTGTGTTCGGTCCTGCATAGTGTGCCTCTTAGAAATTCAACCCAAGACCGTATCTTTTTTGTTGTTGTTTGAAAGTTGATTAAGTTGCAAGTTGTCAA